CACTCTTTTCTTGAAGGTCACATCATATTGGCTATGTAATTTAATTAATTTCCTTCCTTATATCGGGACAAGCCTCAAGACATGTTACAGACGTATACAACTCAAAGCTGTCCAAATTAATCTTTCACAGGCATCGGACTATAAAATTTTTATATGATGTCATATAAGCCACTTTAACGACATTATACCAACAGGTGGTAAGTGTAGTGTTGTAGTAACTACGTAATATAAATACGAATATTATTATAAAACAAGTATTTTCTGCTGATGTATATTAGCAAATAAGTTGGCAGCCCACTCGGGGCCCAAATATGATTATTTATAAATGCTTCAAATATGTATGGACTACGGAATTTCGACGTAATAGTTATTGTCTTCCAAAAAAATTGAAGTTCTTAATTCGTCGGTATTTCTTTATTGTTATGTTAAGCTATTACGTCCCCATTACTGATCGGATTTCATTATTTTTACAATCCCTAGGACTTTCAAATATGGCCATATCAATTAGTACGATAGAAGCTATTCATTTTTCTTTGTGGAGGAAAAGAAAATTTATTAAAACATTATATGTTCTAAATTTAAATATTTTCAATATAATTTATTTTAAATATACATCCACATTTTTGATAGTAACAAATTAATACTGACTAATGAAGAGAGCGACATATGCCGAAGGTTAAGCAAACTGAAGTGGCGATAGGTTGGTCATATATATCTAAGAACCGACAACCGACAAACCGAACCGACAACGGGCAAACGCAGAGTAGGACGACCCCTACTAGATGGAGTGTCCTCACAAGCATTGCAGGGAATCAGTGTATGCTGGTGGGACAGGATCGTTCCTTATGACAGTCTATGGGAAAGGCTCAAGGTAGACGAGAGCTAACGGCTGATATGATGATGATGAATGTTAGTAGAAAATTATTTATAAAAAAATATATATATAAAAAATATTCTATACGGAATTTGTATATCCTTGAAAATGTCAGTTATCGATGTGTGTCCACGATTATAGTCGCAAACTAAAACGTATTTGTTTATATTGAGTAGGCAATAGTCCAATTTAAAGACTAATGTATGTTTTATTGGAATAGGTCGAGCAAATAAGTTTGATTACTCCGTTTTATGAGCTAAGAGATCTTTGTGGATGGTCACTTTTACGGAGACATTTAGTTAATTTCAACCACGCGAGTAAAGTCGCGAGTTCATAGAGTAATATAATGGCATATCAAATAGAATCGCTTTATTATCATTTCAAACAAATTATAATAAAGATATGATATCATTCATAAAATATTTCTGCTTAATAGCAACGTAGTGGACATTATTTATAAAGAGAGTCACGTTTCGTTCAATTCACACGGTGTAAGCATAATCGGCATATTTGTTGAATCATCTTGATTTCAGGGCTAAGGAATTTTACAGCGCATTAGTAATAATGTCGAATAGCAGTTTTATTTAACGTTTAGTCATAAATAAATTGATTATTACATCAAAAGCAACAATGTAATTATTATGACATAAATGTATGTCAAGTGCAAAGTGTAATATGATTTTTATGCGACTGCCAAACAGTGAACGAAGTTGATTCGTTTGATTTTAGTGTATAAAATGACTACTCATACTTAATTTGAACGACTAAAATATTTAATTCTGTACTTATTATTTTAAGCGATTATGTCACCAATTCTAAACCGATATTGATAAATCCGTTTCACATCGTATAAGGTTTACCTCGTGTTGGTCTCATATTAATTGTATGACAATTGAAGCTGCCGTTTTTCTATGCCGGTATAAAATAAACTGTTGCAAAGCATGTTGTAGTATTACACGGAAGAATAAACGGAAGATATTTTGTACACACATTATATAAAAACCTAGTTTAAAAGACAACCTTATATACACAAATAATAAGTGTCATATAAGTAAAACATTCAAGCTATATCAAACGGTAAAAGACCTCAAAGATACACAATCAAGGCGTGAATCATCACAAAATTAAAGAAGTAAATTGTAAACACTTCTTGTCCACACTTTCACGTGTCAACCAACACAAACGGTAAGCAAAGCAAATCTAAAAAGCACTTCAAACGATTCTAGTCTGGCCAAATATCAAAAGTTTAGTCAAAGAGACCTCCGTCCGTAGTTTCGACAGCGATTCCACATCAAAAACAAGGTTTACTGGTCAGTAATACAAGTAGAGTTACTCGTATATTACATCCATGAGTACGAATGTGTCTATAGTCCAAACTGAAAACAATAACTGAAATCTTTTGCCGTTTATTGTTGGTTTAAATATACCGAATTGTAATCTTCATTTGGTCTCTTAAAGTAATATTCTGTTCTAAACACTAATCTAGTATTTATTTATATATGTGGAAAAGTTGGTATTACCTACTTTCTGTTTTAGTTTCTAAAAGATTGTTACAGTAAATTATATTCTATACGTAGAAACTACTTTTTTTATGAAATAGAACACAACAAAACAGGTTCTGTTAATTTTTTCCAATCTAATACATATTTAGGTCTACGATATATTTTTACTTAGCTGACAATATCTACCAACGTCATTGAAGGAGGGTAATGATTTACGGTCAAGTATAAATGTAAATATGCCCAGTTCCGATATTTGCCGCAATGATGATAACGCAAAATAAAATAACGATGATCATGACCAATAAGAAATATTTGTCAATCAAGATTTTAAACTTATTTCTGAATTTATTTAGTCAAGTTTTTCAAGTCTACACATAAGTGGATTTATAAAACATAATACACACATGTGTATAAATGTAAAAATGAGTTTATTTGTCATCTCTCGTCACCTTATGGGCTTAATAATCATGAAATTAGGTATAAAAGTAGTATTTGGGAGGGGATAGAATACGTATACGACCTAGACAATCAACATACATGTGTGAAATTAAAAATAAAATAGATAGAAATTTATCTAAACACAGTCATTATAAATCGTCATTATTTGTTCAAATAAGTAACAGCAATGACTTTCTAGACGTAGGCGGTTGAATGTACAGTATTCTACAATACAAACACAGGGACAAGAATAAAGAACCGGTTTCGTGGCCGAACGGACCTAGGGAGTAACTCAAAACCGGTGGTTTGCTTCTTGAGCAAACAATTTACAAAGTTGCCATCTTTTTGCATTATTGCAACACACCTACCTATACATATAATCTGTTACCTTTAGTTCATTGTATGTATACTTTCTCCTTTTATTCTATCTTGTCATGATTCTAATTATAAAAAAATATATAAATAAAATATATAGATTATAAAAAATAAAAATAAGTCTTACAGAGGGAGACTTTGTACAAAAGTCGATTGCTTGGGACCTCTGTCCCATTCGTGTTTCAACCGTAAAACAGTTGTGTTTGCATGGCTGTGTTTCGGTTTGAAGGGTGGGATATGGTGTGAATTTACTGGGTACGGAGGAATAACACCTGAGTTTTCAGGAATGGCAACGCATGAGGGGTATCATGGGCGAAACAGTATACTCTGTTATGTCCATAGTACGTAGCTTGTTTGCCATTCTAAGTTGTATAAAAAAAAATATAAAAATAAATTAAAAAAGATGAAAAAGAAATCCTCGGAATAAAGTATACTAGCAATTAAATTGACATATTCCCCAAAGAAACATGGATCAAAATATACAAAGTTTTAAAACTCTCTTAACAACTTGACATCTAGACGCGCCGCGTGTAACAATATGCAAGGTTGATTTTTTGCATAACTTTCTTATAGTCACAAATTCATATTGCACTACCATAATATAAGACCGATATATGAAACTTCACTCGTGTTCAGCCGAGTCAAACTGAAAAAAATATAGTAAAAACGCGATATAGTGCGAAAAATATACATCATAGTGTGTAAGTACCTTAAATTTTAGATGTAATGCCGGTATAGATTTTCTTTTTCTGTAATTATGTAATTACCAGTTTATACTGGAAATTACATCATTACCTACTGTTAATGATACTAATTTAATACTTAGTTTATGACTATTATTTCTTTAATAGGTTACATTTAATAGATTGTTATTAATTATATTTATAACAGTCTATTTTATTACATCTTTTAATTATGTTTCTAATTGTATCCGCCGTTAATTGTCCACTGCTGAACATAACCTCCACTGCCACGCTTGGCAGGCGGGTTGGCAACTAAAGTTTGGCTTTTCCCCTCCCATCCCTCCACCATAAGCTCCTTTGTCGCCTCATACGACACCCACGGGAAAGGAAAGGCTGGTCTATTCTATGCCGAGACCTATACGGTTATGTATGTTCATATCCATTTATTTACAATGTTATTAGGATAACTGTAAAAGATATTTTGGAGCTTTATATTCGTATAGATACATGATACGCTTCTTTTCAATTGATCGATGTAAACACCAGCTTCATAGAAAAAAAAACTATAGTTATTTGAAATTACAATGACAAAATGCCAACAGTGTGTCATACTGGGAAAATATTAAGATTTAACAAAATAAGGAAACAGAGTACATAATACCTGTAGTTATAAATAACACGTTAGCAACAAATACATGAAAATGTTTATTACTATTACACTATGGGACTAATGAGTATAATTTAATTAAATATATAATATGTCAAGTGACACAAAGTCAATGTACATATATCTCTATGAATGGGAATAGATATAATGTTATAATCTACACGTGTACATATAGAATCTTGTGCAATTCTAAAAAACTGATTATATGTACAATAACGTGTACATACAAATCTATACTGTTCTGTAATTATCACCATTTCTTAACTATGTAAGCATGCGAAACAAACATCATCCAGATAATTAATTAACGTCGGTTACCTCACAAGGTCACTGAACGCTTCCGAATCCAACGAACCCCCCCGAGACGACAACGTTGCCCGTAAATAAACAAATGAGGACGCGGTTTACAGAAATCGCGCCATTGTTTACGATACAAAGTGAAGTTGACACGGTATACGTACCTGATTGAGCGCTAGCTTCGTATCAAACAATCCAGTCAATGCGATCTGGCAACCCGGTGCACAACGCGACACAAAAGGGGACCTCTCCTTGTCCGGCAACAATAGCAACAATAGAGGACGCGTGAATTGGGCACGACGGCGTCTGGTCGCGCGGAGCGTTTATCTGTCGGTGACAGTGAGCGCCGTCGCCTCGAATAACAATAATGAGGCGACTAATTATTATTATTACCGCTCGGCGGACGCACTCGCTCGTTGTACGCCGGTGGCGTAATCGCTGAATTCCATATAATCGCACTCACACACTTGCGGCTCACAGCGCGCCGATCCCCGCCACGCCACGTGTGTTGACGTCGGCGGCTAGGCACAGGTAAATGTATAAAGAGCGCGTTGGCGGCTATGCGCGCGTATCGATCTCGCGATAAATTCGATACGGTGAGCGGTGATTGCACCGCTGGCAGCGGCGGTCGCCTTTCACGTCGGCGAAAACGCAATTTACTATCGGTGCACGCCGCTACGAGTTCGTGCAAAATAGGTAGAGTGCCGTTCGTCAGTTATGCTCATTGTATGTGCTATCGAATGCGGACGCGACGCCACGCGGCCGTACGAACCTTCTCGAATGCCGAGATAACGCGTGTATTTACTAACGGTGTGAATTACGCAACCACGCACGATAAAACAATAAAAGCAAACTATGTAGCACCTGAGCTAAGGTGACATGAGGTCGCATGCCTAGAGGCCATAGCATTTCACAGGCCCATAATCCAATTTGGCGTCGGCCGCGCCATTTCTAATCGTACTAATTGGGGAACGCCCCAGCTCCAATTACCAACTATCGCTGCTTGTTTTTGGGTAGTTTCGTTAATTTATTATACGTGTCCAATTAAAATGATAAAGATGACATGGATGAAAATATGCGTGTTATGAAGAAGAATTTTTCTGAATTAAAAGAGTCTAATATCGCCATGTGTACACTGTTGTTTTGTGCAAAAAATGTGAATAAATTGGGAATTGTTAACGTTGCAGTCTGCAAGTGTGATGACTTGGAATATCGCCCTCTAATCTTTTATCGCTTCAACTTTTATAAATACAAAGCATTCTTCGAAATTTACGGTTGCAATTATTTGAGGTTGCAACAAAGTGACGAGTTAGGAGGCGATACGAACGCGAGCGTTCCTAGCCGATTTGTTTTTTTGTTTGCAATTTGCGCAACGGCCGTAACTAGCCCGGAAATCTAAGTGGTCGTCCAAAAATGACAAAGCGGCCGAATCAAACCGAGCGCGGCACAAAAACGTCCACGTCAACAGTACGAGCCGTCTGTCGAACGCTAGCACCGCTGCAAAAAGTGAATAATGGCGACCGGCAAGCACCAACTCGTCGCACAATCGCTATTTCGAGACACGTTTTCCTCTTAGTAATAATACCCACGGCTACCAATAATAATAGACTGCACGTACAAACACTACAGATAACGACTGCGCTGCAAAAACACATATAATACAAACAAACGAAGTTGTGTTAAATTTTGATTTAGTTATTATATTTGTGGGTGAAATGTAAAATAGCACGTGCACTTACTAAAACCACAGAGCGCACAAGGTGAACGACTCTATGAAATATTAATGCCAAAGGCAAACAAAACCTTTGTTCAAAATATGGAAACGGATTCAAAGGGGAGATGTCAAGCAAATTAGAGACGTATTAGCGACAATTCCGAGTGATATTAAAGGAGTTGTGGGGTTATATTTATTACTACATACAATACGAATGTTTAGATATGAAGTTGCTAGATTCAAACATTAAGTATAGCATACGTAGTATTGTTGGTTGTTGTGAAAAGTGGTCTAAGTTAGACGAGGAATTCTAAAGTAGAGTATCAACTTTCCAGAGCGATCCGCTCGAGTGTGCACTAAAATATAGTTCAAAGTAGTAGGTGGAACTAGCCCTGCTGAGAGTAGCTTGTTTGCGGATCAATGCCACCGGCATTTTGGAACTAATCGGAAGACGAACATCTTAAATATTAAACCTATTTTAGTTATATGGCGTGAAAAGGAAATCATTGGTGTCATTTGACCAATGATCTGTAAAACTGAACATCTTTTCCAAATGACTAGAAAATAACAAATAATTTTAAGAATTCTACACTAACATGGCTGTGAAATTTATATAAGTGACGACAATTTTTTATAGATGGAACAAATATGGACGTAATACTTTGAACGTTCGTTAAGATTTAATTAAAAGTCAAAGCAGCTATGTAAGTACCCAATAAATCTTATCATCTATCGATTGTGCAATATCTAGAAATAATTATCTCATTTTGATATTTCTAACAACGTGATAATTATGAACTTTATTTCTATAACAATATACTTATCTAGCACAGTGAAACTATAATAGTGAAGCTCTATAATAGAGAATAGTAAGATTCCGTCTGATGTATAGAAATATGACCCCCATGAACCCATGTGAACGAGCCAGAGCTCCTTTCTCCTCGTATATTCTGTTTCTGAAATCTAAACTAACCTCTCCAGCATTTAACCCAGATACAAAGTTGTGAATTGTGGATGATGTTATCATTTATATTCATTATTCACAGGAACTGGAATAAATGCAATCAATTTCACAACTTCCAACATTTGAAACAAGTTACGACGGGAGTTAAAAGGGTTGTCGATTTAACAAATATTTAAATATGTTTATGTTGGTGAGTTTTAATACAATTTCAATTATAGTAACTAAAAAATATTAAAATATAATTGTTATTTTTTTAAAATCTAATTCGTTAATAACATGTACGATTTTGAAAATATTTTTAAATATTAATTTTCTTAACCTTAGTGTTAGAAAGTAAAATGACTCACCCAAAGTGGACGCGTTTTTTTAAGTCGGTAGTGACAACAAACTCACCTGAAACAAAAAAAAAAAACACATTAATACATTAATGTAATTTAGTGGTATTAATAAAATATTATTAGAAACAAGCACATATTAAAATATCAGTATTAATATAGAGTCCAAATGGTCTACTATATACGACTTAGTGTCATTATTTTGTACCAACAACATTTTTCCATTTTGACATTGTAAACATAAGGGAAAATGAATAGAAGACAATTTAAATTAAAAGTAAACAATATTGAAGATCGTCACAAATTATATTTGATAAAATATACATAAATACATTTTTAATATAGATTAACGAAGTGCAACGCTAAGGATGGCTCGCTAGGTTGAGTTTCTAGAATTAATAAAGTACTTTTAAATGATTTCGACTATTTAATAATATTACGTGTCTATTATTAAAACGAGTGCCACGTCAGCCATCGGTGGCTGACACTGGACTTTCCGTTTAGCCCGCGTCAGCCACCGATGGCCGACAGCATATAATATGATATAGAATTATAAATTTTATACTGTTTTAAGGAATTATAGAAAATTTATATAAAATTTACTTGATTTCCGTAACTAGTTTATGTTCTAAAAAGTAAACTATCTTTTACTGCGATAAGCATATTTGTCCCTACAATACCAGCGCTTCTAAGCAGCGCACGTGCCCTGGCGGTGACTTCTTAGAATACAGAGATCTTATAGAAATAGTATATCATACCTATTGATTTGAATGTGTCCTTGCTTTAAATTATTAAATACGTATTACATATGTATTTTATTAAAAGATGAAAAAACGGTAAGTGAGTTTACGAAACCTGCACACTAAGACTTCAAAATTCAACCTCGAGTAAAATATATTTACAAAAAGAAAAGGATAAAAAATACAAATGGTGTGCAAAACAAAAGAATGGACTGACTGGCAAAGGAAAATAATGTAGCAAGTAAAAACGGAGCACGTATGGATCGTAAGAGGGTACAATACGTATTTCATCCCTTCCATTGACACAGATGTCCGACAAAGGCTCTGTCAAGCTCGCATTCTTATTCCGCGTTTTTTACGATATTGTATATAAATCTTCGATTCTTTATGAATCGAAAAACTCACCAATCCCTCATAGATCCGTTCGCAAAGCTTATAAATGTGATCGACAAAAACGACGCCGTTGTTTTATCTTGTATAACTGATAGGTATAACTTGGCTACAGTCAAAGGAGTAGGTTCTCAAAAGTCAGCTCACATCTCGTCCCGAGGGAGGTAGGGTGGATCGAGGCGTCGGGGGAAAGATGAGAGTGATGTGGGGTGTGGGAGGGCTCCAAGGTCGCCGCCCTTGTCTACGTAACCTGACTACGACCTAGCTATGTCGCCGGGTCTCAACTTGCGATTAATACTGAATGGTTAGCACGAGAATTGAAAACAAATTTATAATTAGGGTAAAATATGTAAATTTTGTTATATGTACAATTCCATAATAAAATTATCAAGTTGTATACAAAAAGTAAGAAGTGATGTTTTGTTGTTCTGTATTTGTTACGTATTATAATGTGTAATATTCTCCAAGGATACACGTTCCAAGGATTTTAATAACAGACTTGGATTAGGTTTCCTTATATACTCGTAATATAGCTGACTTTATAAAAACATGTTTTTACAACAAAAAAAAAATGTACCCTAAATATTTATATATCTATTCTGACAAAAACCTAAATAATGAAACTTTACATGAAAGATAAATCCAAATTGTGATATATGAACTACATTTCATTGAAGATATAATATTACTATTAGTGTTCTATAAATGGTAATGTAATGTTTCGAAAACTCTTTTATACATTAATATAAGAAAATGAAACCACGCTTCAGATGTATTGCGCAATGTTTACATCAAAAACGATGTAATAAAAGCCTTATCAAATTACTACACGTTTTCACCATACTACAATAGTACTTATGACTCATTTGTTAAGGTTGCCAACTTGACTGTTCGGGTTTCCCTACATTTGGTCCAATTTTAAAGGTCGATGTCAAGGTTTATATTCCAATGAAATGACTAATCGCCAATTTGAATGTAGTCATTCTTTTTCCCGTTTTGTTCCACTTAGAAAAAATAGATTATTACAAGCATATGATAGATATGAATCATTGTCTGTTTTCTTTCTCAACTAGCTGTTACTTGCGGCTTCGCTCGAATAAATGGTTTTTCATATAACGTTTATCATTTGGGCTCAACATTCTTCTAAAGGCAAGTTTTTGTATATTCATTCCGAGGAACATGAGACATATTTTTCTTAATAAAAAGTACAAAAATATATTAACCAAGGTACTGTTTGTATTATTTATCATATATACTATTATTATGTATAGATAGATTTATAACGTAGTATGAACAGATTAATAAATATGAACAAAAAGGCCTGATCTATTCCACTATTTCTGTCAACCCCAATAAGTGAAAGAATCATATTAAATTACCTAACTACATAA